ACATATATCGAAAAATTCGATCGATCGAATAACATATTTTCATTTTTTTAATTTTACTTCGAAAAAAGCTTTCATATCAAATTAAAAAAAAAATAAATTCTCTTTACATTGTGCTCGATATGTTCCATTAATTAAATTAAATTTGGAAAAAATAAATTCTCTATTCTATAAAATGGATCTCTAAAAATATTTAGATTAGTTAAACAAAAAATTCACAGATAATTTTTATAAATACATTTAATATTATATATATTTAATATTTCAAAATCAGATTATATTGAATCGAAATACTAACACACACACAAAATATACATAAAAATTATCCTCTCTTTTCTTTGTCTTTTTTTATTTTCTAAATTCCAATTGATAATATAATTGAAAATAAAAATTCAAAACAAGCACACAACGAAATAATATTAAAAAGGTCGGAAATATCTTGGAACACACAGGAGGAGTGCATACCTCGAGTTTCCTGAAACTGGAGATCCAACTTGGATATCAGAGAATTGAGAAGCGGAGAAGAAAAATGATGGAAAATACGAATCCACGGTGAAATTCTCGGCTTGGTACAAAGGAATAGTGATAAAGAAAAAAAAAGAGAGAAATAGAGAAAGAGAGAGAGAGAAAAAAAGGAAAAAGATGGAGAAAGAGAAAAAGGGGGAGTAGAGGGGGAGGGGTGGAAGGGAATACTGTAGGTGTGCGTGGGGGAGGTAAAGGTAGAAAATACGAGAGAATAGCACTTGAATAGGAACCGGAACTCGGTAGTCCGTGCTCGGAATTGACTACACGATTGCACACGTACGGTTGTGCATATGAATCGGATAAAAAAAGGGAGCCGGAGGCTTTGCGGGGAGAAAAAGCAAAGCGCTGAGGTTATCGGCTCCTCATTGATTTCTTCTTCATCGACGTTGTGTCGTTGTATAGTCGTCGTCGTCGAGGTTCTAACGTTGTGTGTCGTAAGAAAACAAATTTTATCTATGATTGCGATGAAATATTGAACAAATTTTTGATCGCGTGTATTATTTAGATTTTGTAATCATCGAATAAGAAATAATTTTTTCAATAGGATACAATCGATACAGTTTGAGTGTTTATTATACGTGGTGTTGTTGTTTGTTTACGGTACGTTATATGCAATTTTTAATTATTTATGATTTTTGTATAATATAAACTGTAATAATTTTAATTTATATTTATAGATAATTATATTATTATATGTACTGTAGATATAATAATATATTAATCTAAATATAGTAAAAATAATATATATTTCGTCTAATTTAAAATATTTCTAATTATTGTACAGGTGTACTTTGTTTTCATTTTATACCGTGGAAATGATTTCTTTTCGTTTGTTATCGTTCCGACTTCTAAGCATTTAGAATTTTTTATCGGTGAATCAGTCGCGTTCAAAGAAAAGAACTTTTAATCATTCGCGGGTATTTCTTTACGACGATGATAAGCTTCCATTTTTGTTAGCATCCTCGCGCGATTACGATACGTTATGCTAAGATGGATTAGTCACGAATCAATCAGCACACCAATAGTTCCTGTTTCTTTCTGACAATGAGATTCGTTCGAGTTTAAACGAGTCTTTACTAAAATAATAAATATCTACCTTTTATCTTTTTGTATATATGTGTGTGTGTGTTCTTTTTTTTTTAGAACGATTAATATGAATTTTTTAAATGAAATGAACTCGAAGTGAAGTAATTAATCTTTTTAAATTATGTAGAAACTTTTTTGACCCATCCTATATATATATATTTAGGCGTATATGAAGATCAAAGAACAACATATGTTGTACTTACACATGTGTGTACATCAATAAATATATGAATTAAGGTCACATGAGAATTAAATTCTTATTGGAAATGATCTGCATATATTTCTTCGAGGTCTGTTGTATAATAATTAAAACATTAATAATAATTATTGTATAAACTGTTGATTAAAAATATTTATATAGATCGGTCCAAAGATCTAAATAATTAAAAAAGAAAATGAATATATATATATGTATTAAATTTATTGACAGATTATAAAAATATCATATATGTGTGTGTGTGTATTTGCGTATAAATAATTTGTGAGAGAAAATCTTGTTCCTATTCTCTTTCTTTTATAAAATAAACGAGATGGTGAAAGAACAAGGAAGAAAATTTCCAACTCGATACTGTATAGAAAACGTGGACCTTGAATGAGCAATAAGAAAGAACATAGAATCTGAACTTTGTAATTGGCAGACAATGAGATTAATTTATTACCCTCAGAGATATGTTTGAGATATTTCATAGGCAACCCTACTCTCTCTCTTTCTCTTTCTTTTATCAACGAAAGAGACAGAAGAAAAGAAGAAAGATAAAGAGAAAGAAAAAAAGAAAGGAATAAGTAACCTTAATTTCTAAAATTTAAACTGTATAAATAACAAGAACACATTTAATCAAATATATAATTAAAACTACCACGGAATAAATAAAAAAAAAAAAAAAAATACAATTTAATGAGAAACAATAAATGATACGAGAAAAACAATCAAAGATCGTAGATTGTTGAAAAAAAAAAAAAGAAAAAAAAAAAAACAGAAAAAGATAGAAAACCAAATAGATTATGTCGACGTGCCTA